TTTATTACAGAAATACATATAATGTCTCAAGCATACGATTGCTTATCTTTGGTTTGAATATTTCCAGTGACAGGAAATTTACTACACTCACCAATAAACCAATCCAGACACATATACAATCAGAGCAATGGATAAAGAAAACCACTCAACAGTGACAGAGTTCATCTTTATGGGCATCACTCAAGACCCTCAGCTGCAGATGATCTTCTTTGTGGTCTTTCTCATTGTCTACCTGGTCAATGTGGTGGGGAATGTTGGTATGATTATTCTGATCATATCAGACACTCAGCTTCACACACCCATGTATATTTTCCTCTGCAACCTCTCTTTTGTTGACCTGGGCTACTCCACAGCCATTGCCCCCAGGATGCTGGCTGACTTCCTGACAAAGCACAAAGTCATCTCCTTCTCCAGTTGTGCCACACAGTTTGCTTTCTTTGTAGGTTTTGTGGATGCCGAGTGCTATGTCCTGGCGGCCATGGCCTACGATCGCTTTGTGGCCATCTGTCGACCCCTCCACTACAGCACTCTCATGTCCAAGCGGGTCTGCTGGGCTCTCATGCTGGGCTCCTACCTGGCTGGACTCGTGAGCTTAGTAGCCCACACTTCACTCACATTCAGCCTCAATTACTGCGGTTCCAACATCATCAACCATTTCTTCTGTGAAATCCCACCGCTCCTGGCCCTCTCTTGCTCAGACACCTATGTCAGTGAGATACTGCTGTTCAGTCTGTGCGGCTTCATTGAGTTCAGCACCATCCTCATCATTGTCATCTCCTATGCCTTCATCCTCATGGCCATCATCAGAATGCGCTCCGCGGAAGGCCGCTTTAAGGCTTTCTCCACCTGTGGGTCCCACCTTACTGGTGTCACCCTCTTCTATGGCACAGTCATGTTTATGTATCTGAGGCCGACATCCAGCTACTCTCTGGACCAAGACAAGTGGGCCTCTGTGTTCTATACCATCATCATCCCCATGTTGAACCCTTTGATCTACAGTTTGCGGAACAAGGATGTGAAAGCTGCATTCAAAAAGCTGTTTGGGAGAAAACCTCAATAAAACCAAAAAAATGAAAAAAATCTGTTTTTGTCAGAGGTAAACAGTAGTGCCACAGAGGTTGTGGCAGGGAACACAAATGCAACAACTCCTCAATAAACATCACCCATGTTACCCTCTCCTTACTGATTACATCTGGAATTCTAAAGGAATTTTTATGACTCTATGATCCGAAATAAATATAAAATAAATTAATATTTTTAAAGACATTGAGTAAGATGTACTAGCTTTAACTTAAATTATATTCTCATATATATTAGAAATTGAGGCAGGACTTTATGGGGAGGGAATTAGCTAGCCACCCTAAAACATATATTTTTTTTTCCCCCAGGATCAGAAGAAATGCCAGGTTAAAATGTTGAAAATGTGTATACTCTCAAAGTCAGAGAAAATGTAATGAAAATTATAGTGAATGGACTTGGAGTGAAGGATGATTTTGTTTGTTCTGGGATCCATCCTGTCGTGTTAGCAAAACTTATAAGCACATGGTATTTGCCAGGTTCTTGGGGATAAAGTTAGAAGACATGCATTGGCAACATGGAGTGTGTTATGCTTACAGTTGCAGTATTACTGCTTTAAATTGACTCCCAAACACAAAATCAGGAACCATTCAGTCTAACAAAAAGAGCTATAGTCTAATGCAGTTCTAGTTAACTAGCTGGGCAAGTATTAGTGTGTTTTGTTGTTGTTGTTGTTGTTCTAAGTTTTGCCTTTAACCAAATAGTTATTTCACTGGATTTCTTTGATCCCATCTGTCTTAAAGAAGTGAACGTATTAATTTTTTTTTCAACGTCACATATTGACATCCTTTCAGTCCTCAGAGGCCTTTGATGCCATAAGAAGGATATAATTTGGAGCCATTTTAAGGCACTTTTATATAGCAAGATCACAATATCTACCAGGTTAAGTTTATCTGCTCCCAGCATTAATTTTTCTCCCTTCAATCCTAATGAGTCCCTGGCACTTTCCGCAGCTTTCCATGATCTCCACATCACGCCCATGTAGTGTTCAAAGAAGTCTTATAAAGAGGATGTGCCAATGAGTGATCATAAATGTGAATATAGATCCTACTTGCATGGATTTAAGGCTACAAATCTCCAAATAAAAACAAGATGTCGGGTAATAGCAATAGGTAAAGGCAGCAGACGGAAAGATAAAGAAAGCTCACTATTTTTTTGAGGAGACCATCAGTTTCAAATAATTGGGCACTCAGGAATTTGGGTTTGGGTGTTGGGGATCAGTGGCCTGGAGAGGATTTATCTTGGAAGAGATTAGCATTTCACAGAGAATATCACTCTAGGTTTCATGAAACATTTTCTCCCCACTTGTGGCCAGCATCTGAAAAGGATTTACCTTGAAAGAGATGAAAGCTATCAATATATGGCTTTCTTTTTGATTCCTTTTCCACAGACCACACTATCTTGGGGTCTTTTATTTTCCATATCTAACATTCCAGACTCTGAAAGGAAGGAAGAAATTGGACATGGAAGTCTTTAGCTGCTTCCTTATGGGAGGAGGGAATGTGAGGAGGGGGTCTTTCTTTCAGATTCCTGAAATTAAATATGGGGGTAAGGCAGAGGGGGATGTGGGGAAGTTCCAAAGCCGTTGCAAGAGATATCAATTATTTTAATGTTGTTCCAGAAGATCAGGCAGTGGGTAGGGAAGAGAGTTGCTCTGAGATGTTTTCCAGCAGCTGTGGCTGAGCTGATCATTATTGTAAAACTAAAATAGGGAGAAAACAATATTACAATCATATGTGAAGATTAACTGGTTTGTTAGGTTAGGTGAGACAATTGTAACCTAGAATGAAGAATAAGTAGCTTACCAGTGTTAGGAGAATAATGCTAGTGTAAAAGGTAAAGACTAACTAAATTGTTAGTGCTAGGAACATGATTTTGACATGTAGTATAGCTGAGGATTCTATTTTTCTTAATTAAGGTCTAATCAGATTTGGGGTGTTCTTCCCATAATTTCAGGGGTCTGGTTCCTTTGGAGCATAGCAAGCATGATTGATCTTGGAACCATGTTTTTCTAGTAGTTTGTTTTCATCCTGCTTGACCCAATTACACAAAAGAAGAACAGAGATAAAATTAACAGTTTAGTTAAGGATAGTTAATCCAGCTATATGTGTTGGATAATACTTAAAAGGGTTAAGGGAAGAAATTTTTTCAGCTAAACTGCCACAAAATTCTTCATTATCAAAAGTAGATGTTTTGGCATTAACCATGGCAGGACCTGAGATTACAGTTTTAACACACCCAAAGAAGCAGTATGAGAAAGATCGAGTCCTATTAGATGATTGTGTACAGTGTGCCATTGAATCTCAGTATCATTGAATGGAACTCTAGTAACACAAAAGTAAGTAATATTATAATGACATTAAAGTCTCTGAATCTACCTTAAATCCTGTACTTGTTTCCCTAGCCATGTAACAGAATAACTAAACAAAACTTATTGAGTGGACCCAGTAGTTAACAAAAGATCAGGCCAAAAGTGGTGGAATTCAGATTGATTGAAGAGGGAATATCAAACCATGTTACTGGGTGAGAAATAGCTGGCTGTGGAATCTGGGCCCAATAAATCTACGTGCTATTAGCCATGCTCATAGTTATGCACATTATGAGAATAAGCATAATAAACGTGTTAACAAGAATAGTAAATTGATCCATTTTCCATATTTCAGGTGGCCCTTTAACCATTCAACCTTGTCTCTTAAACCATTCCCAATTGGTTTACATAAAACTAGCATTCTTCCCTGACTGACAGATGCCAGGGAGTCTAATTGATTTGTAAAATCAGTACCAAATCAGTGACTTGTTGGATATCTACAATAACTTGTTCTATTTTTACAGTGAATAGAGGCTGCTAACCTCACTGCTCCTGTATTAACCCCATTGGATGTTTCTAGCTCTATGAGTAAGGGAATAATTTAGGGGCTCTCCTATGTCTGGTGTGTGCTGCTATTCAACTGGGTAGGCTTTTATTGTGGGGTTAAATGTCAATTTGAGGATCAAGGAAAATTAAAGTACAGAGGCCAGTTTAATTTTGGTAAGCAGGGATAAATATGAGCCTCACAATATTTCTGCAGCTTCTTCATCGATAAAAATGAGAATTATTTATATTATGTCTCTATCAGTTTGCACAATATGAGTTCAATAAATGTTTTGAGTTTAAAAAGATCTCCTTCTTTTTCATGAATTAAAAACTTTTCTATTGCTATGTCCTGTACAAGGAGGGATCCATAAACTGAACCCAGGTGTGAACTGGCTGAGAAAACAAAAGTCAGAAATAATTAATAAGAAATAAAAGGCAAAACACACTAACAATAGCTTCAAAAGCAGGGGCCTGGTGGGTGGATCAGACCTGATGGGTCTGATTCCTCTAAAAACAAACAAACAAATAACAATTCCAGGAATGCTTTATTTAAAAGGAAGCACATGAAAGGGATTTATTGTCAGGAAGGGTTCTTCCAGGTGAACAAAGTCATCAGGATCAGACTAATTGAAGTCTATCTATTTTTTTAATTTATTTATTTGTTCTAATTTGTTATACATGACAGCAGAATTCATTTTGATTCATGCAGCACAATATTTCATTTCTCTGGTTGTACACAAAGTATTTTCACACCTTTCGTGTCTTCATACATGTACCTAGGTAATGATGTCTTTCTCATTCTTGCATCTTTCCTACCCTCTTGCCCTCTCCCCCTTCCTCCCCTTTGCCCTATACAAAGTTCCTCCATTCCTCCCATGCCCCCTCTCACACACTCCCAATATGGATCAGCATCCACTTATCAGAGAAAATATTCAGACTTTGTTTTTTGGGGATTGGCTTACTTAACTTAGCATAATATTCTCCAACTCCATCCATTTACCTGTAAATGCCATGATTTTATTCTTTTAATGCTGAGTAATATTTCATTGTGCATATATACCACAGTTTCTTTGTCCATTTATCTATTGAAGGACATCTAGGTTGGTTCCACAATTTAGCTATTGTGAATTGTGCTGCTATAAACATTGATGTGGCTGGTCAATGTAGTATGCTGTTTTTAAGTCCTTTGGGTATAGACCCAGGAGTAGGATAGCTGGATTAAATGGTGGTTTCATTCCAAGTTTTCTAAGGAATCTCCATACTACTTTCCAGAGTGGTTGCACCAATTTGCAGTCCTACCAGCAATTTAAGAGTGTGCCTTTTTCCCCAACACTTATTATTGCTTGTATTCTTAATAACTGCCATTCTGACTGGAGTGAGATAAAACCTTAGAGTAGTTTATTTGCATTTCTCTAATTGTAAGAGATGTTGAACTTTTTTCATATATTTGTTCAGTTTCTTAGCCCATTTATTGATTTGTTTATTTGTTTTTTAGTGTTAAGTTTTTTTAAGTTCTTTATATATCCTGGAGACTAGTGTTCTATCTGATGTACTTGGGGTAAAAATTTGCTCCTATTCTGTAGGCTCTCTATTGACCTCACTGATTGGGGCTTATCTATTTGCACTATCTTCATCTTGCTCCAGACAGCTTGTGCCTCAAGGCTGTGGAATCCATATTTATTTCTTTCACCCAAGGGCAGCAGGCATCTGAACTCAAAGCTATTGCACCAATAAATCCCACACCATGCATGGAATCTGCCTCATTAACAGTGGCTACCTACAAATGGGCATGTCTGAAAGAGACCAAAAAGGATAAGCCATGGAGTTCAAATCAATGATTCATTTGCCACTACCAACAATTTAAAATCAAATTCCTGGTAATTTTACAGTCAATATTATCATGATCATAATCAATGCTACCATCAAATGATCTTTAAGTGCTTTGCCCTCCACCCTGACTTCATGCCATAATGTGGTGGTCATGTGAAGGCTCATGATGTCACCACATGCCTGTCTGACCAGTGTCTAATTTCTCTGGCAACACAAATATTCATATTCTTAAAATATGTGAACAAACTAACCACAGAAATCTGAGGATTTGATTCTAAGGCTACTCCTATTACCATTTGCTGCATCCCTTAGAGTTTTGTCCAAAAATAGATGCCCCACCCAAACCAGGTAATTTAAGGAGAATTTTTAACAGAG